CTGTGAGTCTCATTCCTCATGTAGAGTGCCCCACAATCTTGAACTTTTTTTCTTTCCTTTCTAAGAACAGAAAGCTGCATTTTGGTCTTAATTGTCACAACTACTATTTAGCTTTAGCAGAAACTAACCAAAAAAACCCGAAACAAAACCAAACGTCCCACATAGGTAGACTGACTAATTTTAGCCAATTGGCACTTTAACCACTGACTGGAATCTGCAGAGCTCATGCTCTGCCAGAGTCTGAAGAGAAAGTAGCCTATGACCAGCGACTCGGCAGTCTTGATGGTAAGTATCCTGGTTGTTGAAAATTGGAGATAAATTTGGCAATATAAATAGCGTTCTTTAACCCTCGTCTTCAAAATTTGCAAACCACTAACCTACGTAATGTTTCTCGTTAAACCAAGTATACTCTTCAGCGAGCACACAGAAAAATCGTGGATTCTCACAAATTTCATTCATATATACATATACGTAGACACACCCACTTTCTTTGTACCAATAAACTGATTCATGCTGAGTTGTTACCCAGGATTAATGAGGTTATTCTTTCCTTTTAAGAATCATGGGGTCTTAAATATAAAGTGGGGTAGAAACTTAGAGGTCATAGAGTCCAGTCCCTTCATTTTATTAATGAGATCCAGAGAAGTGAAATGACTTGCTCACTGTCCAAGGCTGGATTTAAACTCAGGTTTTCTTGAGTCATGCTTGAGTTCAGCCAACTATACCATGTGTAACATTGCTTAATTCAGCGTGGTGAGTCTCCCAAAGGATGCCATTTTCGGTACTCATCACACCTGGGGAAGATTCTATTTGCCAGCAGTTCTTAAGCCGATATCACATTCCAAAGTAAGGTGTGTCCTATTCTTTGTATTGACTTGAGAGAATATCTAAGCATGGGGGCAAGAAGCCCAAGAATCTCCTAACATGCAGATCTAGATGGTGCCTTTGTTAGCACTGCTCCAAGGAAGCCACTGAGAAGACTGCAGAAACCTTACCCCTAAGGCACTTTCAACTGAGAGCAGCTAAGTGTAATAATTAAAACTGGTCAGATGTCACATCTGGCAAAGTTAAAATGCCTAAGCCAAGACATTAAAAAAAAAATCAATCCCTCTAGGTGAAAAAAATTTAACTAATCTGCAGAATTTAATTTAACTTCTATCCCAGTCACAGCAAGTGGTAGCCTCAGTATATGGTTTTAATGTTAAGGAGAAAAGTGAGGACATTGTTACAAAAGTTTATTGAAATTTGGCACAACAGGAGAGTACTTAAATCAGATGAGTATGCCTTTCTGGCCTTACTAGCTAAGGGAGGTGGTCTCATCAGTTGGACATCAAGGTTACTCTTTTCTGTAAGTGGGAACTTAAATCAGTACTCACTGTTTTGTTACTCATAATAGACAGCACAGTGACTAGTTTAGAGCACAAAGGGAAGCTGTATGAAAGAATACAAATGAGATTGGTAGGCATGAGAGGAGAAAAAAGGCTTTTCAAGGACATTTCCAATTATTTTGCTTTCATAAAAGTACACCAAGACCACAATCTTGCAAAGTCACCGAGTCAAATATGGCCTTAACCAGGTTTCACATTTGGGAGCCCTCACCGCCACCACCCCACCTTTGATCATCTAAAAGGTCTGCTGAATAGTCGCTAGCAGTCCCAAAGCGGGAAAGGAAGTCCAGTGTTGCAGAGAGCTTGTCATCCCATGGCTTAAGGTACTAGCAACCGAAGACAGTGCTTTAGGCTAGGGGCAGGACTTCAGTGGTAAAGCAAAGGGGTGCTCTTCATAAGGCCACATTTCTCAGCCACTTTTTCTCATGTTAGAACACCACTTGAGATGAAGGGCAGCTAGTTGGCTCAGTGGATAGAGCACTGGGCCTAGAGTCAGGAAGACCTGAATTCAAATGTGGCTTCAGACACCTGCTAGCTGTGTGACCTTGGGCGAGTCACTTCACCCTATTTGCCTTAGTTCCTCATCTGTAAAATGGGGACATACTGGAGAAGGGAATAGCAAACCAATCCAGTATCTTTGACAAGAAAACCCCATGTTCATGGGGTCACAAAGAGAGACAACTGAATAACAACAAATATCCCCTGATTGAACTCCAGAGGAGAAAGAACAAGCAAGTTGTAGGATTTATTGTGATGCTTTTCTGACTGGCATCAGTACTGAAGAACAGCTCGCCAGCAGGGAGATGACAGGACCAGTTGGCAGCTCCTGGGCTCTGTCGCCTTTCCCTTAGTACTTTAATTGTCCCTATTCACAGTTTGGAGAGGGGATGCTTCTCCACCTCTCCACTGGTTTTCCTTAAATTTGCTTGAGGAGATCCTTAGGCCAAATAATGGAAGAGGTTTGAGGGTAAAAGGATTTCTGCCTCTGATTCTTGAACTATGAGATTTTGAAATTGTGCTTTTACGAGCCTTGGGTCATGGAAGGTTAAGTACAATGAAGGCAACAAAGACTATTACTGCGTGTTTTCTGTGCACACTTCACCTAACAATCCTGGGCTGGACGCAGCGGTCTGATAAATTGGTTTGTTAAACTCAAAGGTGGCTCCGATTTCAGAATACAGAAAAATTGTAAAATCATGCTCCTGATGATTTTCTCACTAGCTTTCAAACTATCTGCAGGGCATTAGGTTTTAAACATAAAAAGGACTCTAGGAATAATCTAATCCCCATTTCACAAATGAGGAAATTGAAGTCCTGAGAAGCTGTGACTTTCCCCAAAGTACACAGGTAACAAATACCAACTTAGTACTTCTTAAACCCATATCTAGTATTCTTTCCACCGTAGTGAATATACTCCTTCCCCTTTGTGCTCATCCCAGCTCTCTTGTAGCATGTTTTTTTTTATGTTAGTGTGTTTCCTCACCCCCAAAGATAGCTTAAGAAATGGATTCTTGTGCTTCATAAATGTTCAGATGAATTAAAGACTTGGCATGCTTCAGAAATAGCAGAATTAAGCCTTCCTAACTTGTAAGAAAAATTTCAAAGATGAATTAGGGCATTAAGGGCTCTTAGCAGGGTACTCGATAAACATGATGATTATTACAACATGAACAGGCCATGCCATCTCCCACTTAGTTTACTACCAAAAACAGGGTGAGTACGAAGGACTGTACAGAGCGGGAGACACAGGTGACCCTGCCTTGTCAGAGTTTTATAAGGCAGTCTGTCTTCCATAGACTATGGATGACTTGCTATTCAAGATGCCAGTTACCTTCTTTGGGCTTGTGTCCTCATCTGTAAAATAAAATTACCTTTAAGGTCACTTAAACTTCTTAAACTGTTTTAAAGCATGGCTAATAATTGCTTGAATGAAGGTCAAGAAAAGGAAGATCTACATATGCCATAAGGAGGTTACTTATGCATCTAATGTAGCTGAAACTGTGAATCATGAGACCTGGGTTCTGTTATAGACTAGAACCTGCTTGACCTTGGAGAAGCTTCTATTACCTCTCTGGGCCCTGATTTGCCCATCTGTAAAATCTAAGGGTTGGAATCAGTCACCTCTGAGCTCCTTTATATCTGTTACATTCAATAAATGTGTTTCTAATTTCAGAGGGTTTATCTCTAGTCTTTCCTCCCAGCTTCCCATTCATCATTTTACTCACTTCCCATGTTACTTCCTCTCTCTCTACCCCAGAAAGAAAAAGGACAAGGGAACTAAGTTACCGATGTATATGATACATAGACTGGCCAGATTGGGTTAAATGATCTACAATTTTGCATCCCTGTGTCAAGACTACTAATTTATACTCACTGTATAGTCCTGGGCACTTTGAAATGCTATGACAGCATTTGGGATGCTATAATAGCAAAGATAATTTGTCTTTCCTGTACTCTAAACCACTGTGGAATTAAAACTAAAGAGTTCCTTTTTATCTCTTCAGAATTGGAATGCAATTCCTCCCTGCATAAGCAGATGTTAGGGCTCAACTTGAGATTTGGCTAGAAGGTTCATTAACTAGGAAAAGCAATTTTTTTCCCCCAATTTCTTCTACTAAGCAAACTTGTGGAGTCCCTGCTAAATACTATTTAGGAGATCGATTTCAGGTGTGCAGATCTGGTTCTTAAAAGATGGGAATCCTATTTAGGTTTGCAGTTACTATGAACTATTTTGGGGCACTTTTAGAATGATTTCAGTAGTAAAATTCTTAGGGTGTGTTAATAAGGTAGTAATAGACCCGGGCACAGCACTTGCTTCGGGGGGGGGGGCGGGGTGGCACTGTTTAGGTTTTTTCTCCTCTAATTCCAGCACATTTTCTTTTCTCTGGCACACGTAAATGCATTTTGTGATAAGTGGAGAGGCATGTGATTGTTCAATCATGCCTGGTGCACAAGGATGCTTTGTTAGGACTCGGGGTGTTAATGATACACTGGCAAGGCTGAGAGGGGCCCGTTAGAATGCACGTCTGCCCTGCCCTTAAATTATCATTGTCTCGGGATATTCGGGCCCAGAGCTGCCGCAAGAAGCTGGAAAATGTGAGGCTCGAGGGAGGGAGAGGAGGCAGCCCCCAGAGAACAGCGCTGATAAAGCGAGTCACAGCCAGGCTGTTCGAGGGACCAGAGCAGGAGGCAGTGTGAGGGGCGCGGGGCCCAGCCGGCCCGGACCGACGGGCGGAGTCCAAGGCCCGGCCCGAGCAGCGCCGCGCTGGGGAGCCGAGGGCCCGGCCGGCCCCCGCCCAGGCCTCAGCCCCGCCCCGCTGACGGGGCGCCCGAGCCAAGGCCCCCGCCGCGCCGTCTCCCAAGGGAAGGCGACGCCGAGAAGAAGCCTGCGGGCTCGTCCGCTCCGCCGCGGGGAGGACGCGAGCTCCCTCGGGTCGGCCTGCCGGTACTCTGCGGCCGTGCCGGCAGGGGGCGGGCGTTCCCTTCGGGCATCGGGGGGTGCGCGGCGGGGGCGGCGGCGCGCGGCCGTTGGCGGGCGCGAGGTGTGGGGGGGACGGGCGAGCGGGAGCGCGCGCGGGGGCCGCGGGGCCGCGGGCAAGGGGGCGGGGCTGCAGAGCGCAGCGGCGGGGCCAGGCGGACGGACGGACCCGCGGAAGGCAGCCAGCGGCGGCGAGCAGCGGGCGGGGAGCGGAGCCGACAGGCCGCGGGAAGACGTGGGCGCCTGGAAAGGGGGAGAGCGCAGAGGTAACGCAGGCCGCAGCCTTAACGGGTCAGAAGGGGAGGCCGCGGTGGGATTCCGCGGGCTCCGGAGCGCCGGGGGCCGAGGCCGCCGCCCCTCCCTGAGGCGAGACGAGGCGAGGCCAAGCGAGGGGGGCGGGGCCGGACCGACGCGAAGGGGCCAAGGGGGCCACCCTCGGGAGGGGGAGGGGGCGCCAAGAGCCTTTTGTTTGCTGTCCCCCCAAACCGACCCCCTCCTTTTTTTTCCCACCAGCCCCTCGCGCCGGCGCATCCTCCTGGGCCCGCTAGCGCGCGCGCGTTCCCGCTTCTGTTTTGTTTGCAGTCGCGGGGGAGGGGTGAAATGGTGAGGGGGGAGGAGAGGGGATGGTCCTCTCTGGACCGGTCCCTCCGAGACCCTTCTGCGCCTGCTCGTCCTCTTCCTGCCCGGCGTTGATTGGCCGACGCAGCCCCTGTTGGCCCGTCTGGAGCTGCGCATTCTCCAAATGCCGAGACCTGGGACCTGCCTTTCCCCCTCGCACACGCAGGGCCCCCTCCCCACCTTCCCTTCTTCATGCACACCCCAGTCGACCATCCCCACCCGCGTAGTTAGAACCCCATCTTTTGAACTCAGAAAGATTCGGGAGGAGGTGATTGGCTGCGGCGCGCCCGATGGGCCCGGCCCTCCCGCGGGGCTCCGCCTCCCGCCGCCATTACGGAGCCGGCTGCGCTGGGGGGCGAGGCCGAGGCCTGGGGCTCGCTCTGCTGGGTGAGTGTCGGCAGCCCGCTCGTTCGCCTCTGCGGACCTCCCCGCGGGCAGCAGCGAGCAGGGCGGCGGCCCCCTCCAGCCCTTGAATGGCCTCCCTTGAGCCGGCGCTTGAGCCGATCTCGGCCTTGTCCCCGGGCCTTCGCGGCCTGCAGTCCCGGGGCGCCCTGGCAGGGCCCGAGCCCGGCCTGGGCCTCCTCCTGCCCATTGCCCCTCCGTCCCATATTCTCCTGGTCACGCCCCCACCTCGGGGCTGGGCGAAATTTGGGGCTCGCTTTAGCATTGGGGGGGGCCCTCTGGAGTTGGGAAGACTCGAGCTCAAGCCGGTTGCCCAGGTCTGGGCAGAATCCGAGGGGCATTCGTGGAGGGACTTTGTACACCGCGAAGTTCTCACCGCTCCTGGAGCCACCGATCGGAACCCGCCCCCCCCACCTCCATTCTCCCTAAAGAAAGGTCCAAACTGCAACCGTGCTCAGTCTTAGTCTTAGGGTTTTCCCCATTGCCCACCAGTCTTACCAAATCACCTGCTGCTCTGATTTGATGAGTGTTTTGGAGGTGATTTAGGTAGCCCTGTGATGGTTGGACGTGACAAAACTGGGTTATGAGAATTTGAGAGTAAGGAGTTTAACAACGTAATAAAGCCCGGGACTGGGAACCAGGAGAAGCTAGGCTCTGTCAGCTTTCCCTGAGTCTTAGTTTTCTCTTCTGTGAAGGAGAGGGTTGAACTTTATTATATGATGATAGCCTCTTAAGAATTTTCTACCTCTAGAATTTTATTATATTAACTTCGAAATTATCGTGGACTTCCTTTAGAAACAAGTCTTGGCATCCATCTGTGTCATGTTGTAACCATGTGGGCAGCAGTATTTCAGTAAAAATTTTACCTGTATGAAGGTATTAAATTTTATGGGATCCCAGAATTCAGTCACTTTAGAAACTAGATATAAATGGTTTCCATTCATTTATACTATGTTACGGTTTTTGTGATTTAACTTTTTATGCCTATATGGCTCTCTAACCAGCTGCTCTCTTTTAAAATTCAGCATAGTGTTTTAAAGCACATCAAGTTGGCTTTTTTTTTCCATTACTAAGCAAATTGGAAAAATCTCATTTTTGTGTGAAAATCCTAACAAGCTTACAAGTGACTTGTGGTGTGTTACACTAATATTTTGTATCCCCATGCACCCTGCTGTCCTCCTTGAAACAGACACGAAATAGACACTTAGTAAATACTTGTTGGTGGTCAAAATATGAAAGTGGAGAGAGGACCCCGATGTTCTGGCAGTGTATGTACGTTGCCAAGTATTGCATACCTTTTGTGCTGCAGTGCTTTATATAAATTACATATATATAAAAATATATACATATATAATATATACATATATAATATACATATATATAAAATAATGGAAATACACGGAAGCAATGATTGCTAGATTCTTTGTTATGCTTTTAGTATTTCTGTTCAGTTGAAAGGAACTGAGTGTTACATATTAATTTTTTTGCTTCTGTAATATGTTTTTTAATGACCATATCAAAATAACCTAAGCTCTCTAAGAGAAAAATCAAGTCCTTGTTCATTAGTTCTGATTTGGGTGACTCCCATGAGTCATAAACCACAGACTTTATACTAAAGTAGCTTGTAAGCTAAGGTGTTTTGTGTTGGGGGTTTGTTAGCTTTGTTAATTGGAGAATTTTAAAAGAGGTTAATGACTCTATTCTTCCTCCCCACCCCAAACTGTGGTGCACTAACTAGCCTGAAGTAAAGCTTGTTATCTGTCCAGCACACTGAGATCAATGTATATTCAGTCTTTTGCCTTGCTAATGTGATAAGACTTTTCAGTGATTAGTTTGCATTGTAAAACTCCCTTCCTCAGAAAAAGATCAGGCTTTAAGCTGAAATCTTAAATACCTTTACTTTCACTTGGGAAACATTTTTCAACATTGTATCCCCCAAAGCTTTGTTTTATTTATTTTTCAGGTTCTTTTTGAGCATACAGAATGCAGTATTAGATGATTCCAGATTGCCTTGTGGTTTACTTTTTCTCAGAAACTTATTTAATAGATGGGAAGAAAAGGTTGTGTGTGTATATATGTATATCTCATTGTATCATAATTATCACAATTCTGCACGTACTTTTTCTGAATAGAGTACAGAATATTTCTTTTGAGTTGTGTGAATTCTTAGAAGCAAAGCCAGTTTGTTGCAATATCTGTGCGGTGCCCTGTTTAGCATGAATATTTAGAGTTCCTTAATACAAACTTAACATATTTTGCAAATTTGTTTTCTTTTGTGGAGGTGGGGTTACTTCCAGAAACACTAGAGCAGGGGTGTCAAACTCACCACATGATCTCCCCATAATTCCTCAGTGAGGCCAGAATCAGATGAAAATATAATGGAAAAATGCTTAACATAGTAAATAAAAGTATAGTACAACATGGATAAGATTAATTTGTGGTTTCCTAAATCAGTATATAGTCTTCAGGGATCTGTTTCTATTTGAGTGTGATACCACTGGTCTAAAGTATCCTGTGTCACCCATCTAAAATGAAATTCTTACATTCTCCTTATCTGGAACCTAATGTCTTTAGTGGATTGAGTCCCTCCTAAGGTGTCAGTCAATTAACAAGCATTTATTAAGTGCTGACTATTCGTCTAGCACTTCAGAAGCCCTGGCGATACAAATAAGGAAGTAGAGGGAAGAAACAGCCCTTGGCCTCAAAGAGCTTTTATTTTAATGAATGAGGTAACAAGTGTAAATGGTGAAAGGGAAAGCATCCGAAGCACCAAGAATGGAGGCGTGCAGGAAAAACAAACAAACAAAACAAAAGAAAAAAAACCAACCCTACTAGTAGGCCAGGGTAACTGGATTGTAGTATGTGTGAATCGGGGAGCAAAATAAAAGACTGGAAAGGTAGGAAGGAAGGGTTTGGGGTACAAAGGACTTTGCAGCTCAGTTGGGCAGTGAATAAAGTAAGGAAGGTCTGAGCTCAAATTCCATCTCAAACACTCAGTAGTTATTTGACCCCACGCAAGTCACTTAACTTCTGTTTGCCTCAGTTTCCTGAACTGTAAAATGTGGATGATAATAAAACCTACCTTACACAGTTGTAGTAGCTTAATAAATGTTCTCTCCCACTCCCTTCAGTGCCAAACTGACGGTATTTTATCTTAGAGGTAACAGGGAGCCATCAGAATTTAGTGGGGGTGGGAGATTGTTTTAGCTATAGTGCTTAGAAGCTGCTTATCTGTCAGTTTTTCGTTATTTTTTAAATGCATTGAATTTAAGAATCACTTCAGGACTTGCTTAATCACTAAAAAATAATATTTTAACAATTTTAAGAATGTTGTGACCTTCAGTTAAAAAATGAAAACATACCTTAACTGTAGCATTTGGAAAGGATTTAGACCTTTCGTACTTTAAACAATTTTTTTTCCGGACAACTGGAATCAATATCATTGTTAGCAAATGGGACACATTTGTCAATACATATTTGTATTGATTTGTAACTTTTCAGGTTGGCTAGATTTTCATGCTTTCAAAGCTCCTTCGATTTCTTGAATGGACAGAAACAAGGGTAAAGGGGGAAAGACTCATTTGTGTAGCAACATGCATTCATGCTAAGGATGCACCTGCTATTACATTTTCAGTCTCAAGATTTTTGTGTACCCTTAACATTTACTTTATTGAATGTCACACATGTTTCTTTTTAAATATTTTTTAGAAAAGAAATAAGACATCCCTTAGCGTGTAGTAAGGTTATGTGACCAAGAACTCATCTGAAAAAAACTTTTTGAAGCCCTTTACCTTGAAGAAAAAAAACTGTGACTATATCTTGAGAATAATTTGTCCTCTTCAAATACATAATTTTTGATAGAACACATTTATTGACTGGGCTGCTGGGTGGTGTAAACAGGATAGAGAGGATAGATGGAGCCTTGGGCCTGGAGTCAGGAAGACCTGAGTTCAAATTCAGCTGCAATCTCTTAGTAGCTGTGAGTCCCTGGTCAAGTCACTTCACCCCCTCAGTGCCTCATTTTCCTCATCTGCAAAATGAAAATAATAACAGCATTTACCTACCAGGATTGTCCTGATGATAAAATGTTATTTTGTAAAGCACTTTGCAAACTTTTAAAGCGCTTATATAAATGCTAGCTATCATCATCATCATCATTATCATTATATAACAGAAGCAGTATTTTACTGCCCAGTTTACTATTGAATTCTTTGCTTTGGAATAAGACTCCAAATGATCTCAAAATTTGGTGTTTTTCCTGGTTATTTATTGTGTTCTCTATGGTTTTGAGTCCCAAGATTCTCCACAATTGTCCCCTTAGAATTGAAAACCTATATATTTCTAATTAGGCTTGGAGGCAAATGTAGGAGTTTTGAAATAGCTGATTCTGTCATTTTGCTAATTTATGCTATTTTCTACAAGTGCAGAGCTACAGAAAGTTAAGCTTATTTTTTTAAAAAAAACTAAACACGTTGTAGGTAAATAGAATTTTTTTTTGTTACAAAATGTTATCCCAGCCACTGTGTCACGCTTTTTAAAAATCATTGAGAAATCATATTGTCTTAAAGTATTTAATCGTGCTTTTCCCCCCTCTATCTTTTGACTATTTAAAAATATAAAAAGTAAATCTCTGAAACTTCATATAGTGCTGCTCTTTTAAAGCCTAGCTTTGCTTCCCAGGTCAGTAGAATCTCCCTGTGATGCAATATTCTGTGCCGCCACCATCTTCCTGAGTACGGGTGTGGATTTCCCTTTAAAGGAGAAGAAAATTGCTTCTCTAACTGTAAGACAGTAGTGCAGATAGTTTAGACTCTCCATGACTGTTCCTTTTAGACTAAAACACTCTCTTTTTTCTTTGGAAAGGTGTGCTCCTTATAATCTTATGCTTTCCTCTTTAAATTCATAGATAAAAGTAGATTTAATTCTTTATGAATTTTTTCCTGGCCTTTTCTCACTCTGTTCATCTGAAAGGCTAATACTGAACAGGCTCCTGCTTTGGCTTCTGCATTTGTCTTAGTTGCTGCTTTAAATAGTTTTATATTTTGTTAGCTATTTTGTCATATTTTTTTAAAATGACCAAGTTATTTCCCATTTAAATATATTCATGTATATATGTATGTATATATATGTGTGTATATATATATATATGTATATATATGTGTAGCTATATACTTTTCCTTTGGGTTTAAAATAAGTTTAGACCTTTTAGTTTAGTTTTGTTTTTGTTAACCTTCACACCAGGTCTTTTCTGTACTTTAGGTTGACTCCTCACTGCACTGTGAAACCATTAGGAAAAATCCTTGTGGTTAAAAGCTGAGGCTTCAGAGTGTAACCTGCACTTGGGCCTAGAAATTAATTTAAATGGCGACTGATACGTCTGAAGCTGAACTCGTCCATCCTAAGGCACTCCCACTCAGAGTAGGAGCTCAGCTGATCCACGCGGACAAGTTAGGTGAGGTAGGGGCTGGCCCGTTCTTGAAGCTCGCCCTTGGATCCATCCCTGACTTCTAGCCCTGCCAGGGGCTAAATGGTGGTGCATTCTCCCTCCCCTACTTATAGGAGCCTGGGTTATGAGTGTGACAAAACCAGAGGTGTGCAGGTATCCTTTTCATTTCCCACTCTTCTAAAAATGCCTAAAATCGTTTGAAGTTTATTCCAAATAAAACATGATTAATTTTGGTTGCCACTTTAAATATGAACATAAAAAGCTTGAGATGTATTTCCTAAAAAAAAAAAAAATCACATTCACCTTCAGAGAAGTTACCCTGGAGTCAGCTTGAAGATTTCTCCAACATCTTCTAACACCCAACTAGGCCCCCTTAAAAATACCAAAAAAGATTTAATTCAGCAACATTGTCATAATCGTTTGATTTTGGCTATCTCTGAATTTCTCTTGGAAGGTTGAAGAAAACACCATGCCCATTCGTCGAGCTGTGAATTCTACTCGGGAAACTCCTCCCAAAAGCAAACTAGCTGAAGGTGAGGAGGAGAAACCAGGTAAAGTGAAGCTGTGGTGGAGATTGTTTTATTAAAGTGTCATTCTGCTATACCGTGGCCTGTTGTGAATGTTTCCAAATTAAACTTGAAATAGAATTGTCATTTAAAAATAAGTAGTCAAAAATAACTATGAAATGAGGGGGCTGGACTAGATGATTTTTAAAATCCCTTTCCAACTGTAAACACAGTCACAACAATTCTGTTTGCAGGCTTCGTGAGCAGGGTAAGTTTTTATGTCTTGGCAGTATGAAAGAGTAGAATTTCTTGAACTGTTTGAATAACATAAATGAAATCATTTGACAAATAGACTATTGGAAGAATTCTCAGCTTAAGATTCCTTTCAGATACTAAATTTTAAAATTTCAACACATTCTCTCTCCCTGTTGGGAATGAGATGTATATATGAATTGCTTTTATTGTTTTAAAATCTCACAATAACCTTTTGAGATAATTTGAGGGACCATAAATTTTCACAAAGTAAGGATTAGATTTGGCTAGCTTAGATTGATTTTACAATTAGTTTTAATTTCTGAGTGTACACCAGCTGACAAGGGAGAGAAACCCCAAATGCGAACTTGGTGGCAAAGAGTAATTGGCTTAGTAGTAATATTAAGGGAAAACAGTATGCTAATTCATGTGTTAATGTTCCACTTTATTCTTTTGTATGCAAGGCTAATTGTTTAGGGATTAATGTCCTGACTGGTCTTTTCTAAGTAAAAGTATCCTAGGCTCAGTATGTAGTTTTTTCTTCTGCTAGCTTTATTCAAACAAGACAGCTCAATTCAGCAAACATTTATTGGGTGTTTCTAAACAGAATACAAAACCAAAACCAAAACCATCTTATCTTTCAGGGATTTACGTGGTAACAACTTGTGTACACAGATGAGTAAATGTATAGCATATATAAAAATTAATACGTGAGCCCATATTTCAACAGTTGGCTCTGAAAAGAAATTAAAAAGCAATATTTGAGTATGCTACTTGTTCTGCAGGATTATAATATGTGATTTCATGATTAAACACATATAAAGACAGAGGAAAGATTTCACTTGTTTAATAATAAAGTAAAATCACAATGCAACACTCCGTACCAGGGATTCAGTTACACTTCAGGTCAAATCGTGTCCCCCATTTATGGTCTAATGTATAATGCATCTTAATACATCTCTTAGCATAACATGAAGTGCCTGTCACCATTGATATCTACCACCACCCCTTTACCATTGTTATAAAAGGGTTTTATCGTGATAGTAATATTTTGGAATTGAAAGTGTATGGGGAAAATTCATGCATGAGCCATCAAAGAGCTTTGTTTGAAATATGATTTAGTCTGGGGGAAAAATACAAATAATGGACATTATTGGGTAGGTTAGAAGATTGAAGTTATACTTAAGAAAGATAATACAAATCTGCTTCCTAAATGGAGAGAAGGAATGGATAAACAGACTGGTAGAAAGTGAGAGAAGCAATTGTTTGCAAGTTGGATCAGTGAATTTGGTTCATTCTCTCACAGTTCATATAATGGTGTCCCAAAAGTCTTAGAGCTGTTTGACATTACAGTGCCTTAAAACGGCACCAACACTTTTGGTATACTCTGTATCAAGATAAGCATGGACAGATCTACATGAACTGATGCAGAATGAAGAAACTAGTCAAGAAAACAATAAATACAATAACTACACAATGTAAATAGAAAGAACCACCCAAAAAAAGGTCAAAAGTGAATGTTAACAAAACTATTGGCAAGCATGACCTGAAAGACTTATAAAAAGGTACTCCTACTCCAGCCTTGTAGAGTTGAGAGGTCCATAAGTATTGCATTTTGCAGCTTTTCTTTGTAGTAATGAGCCAGACATGAAATATGACTTTACCTCTCTGGCCCTGCTCTTTTTAAGAGAATTATAGTTAATGAAGTTGATTAGCTGTTGGTTCCCAGGATAACTAGTTCAGAGAACAGTTAACTCAGACCTTACTTTACTGCATTTTTCTCCCATCAAGTTTTTCTCCCTTCAAGGCTCATAACATATGTAGAGTGGTACTGTGGCATTCTGTAGAGCTTCTAAGCCACTGAGAAGCACACTCTCCTCTGAAAAGATCTCATAGTTAGACCAGTTAAACAACCAAATTTTCACAATCAAAACTCATTTCAGGCTAATTTTTAAACATAAGAAGTCTTCTTTCCTTTCTTTTTTTCTTTCAAATAAGTTTTTATTGATATCTTGAAGTTTTTTGCATCACCTCAGTTTCCCCCAAATACCTATCTCAGTGAACTATCTCATATAATAGTATATTTTTAAGACAAAAACAAAGAAATAATCAGCATAACTAATCAATACACTGATAAAGTCTGAAAATATGTGCAGTGTGCCATACTTGAGGACTTCCCACATCTGCCGTAGGGTGGAGTAAGAATGATTTCTTATCTCTTCTTTTGGGCCATGCTTATTCTTTATGATTTTGCAACATTCACTTTTAGGGGTCTTTTTTTTTTGGTGTTTTTTTCCATTTACATTGTAGTCATCATATACGTTATTTTCTTAACTCTTCACTCTGTATCAGTTCATGTAGATCTGACCATACTTCCGTGTGTTCATCACATTAGTTTCTTTCAGCACAGTCATATTCTATTACATTTATGTACTATGATTTATTTAGCCATTCCGAAATCCATGGGCATATAGTTTGTGATTCTTTGCTCTCACAAAAAAGTGTTGCTAATAAAAACTACTATAAATATTTTGTTGATAAGAATATCCATGTGCTCTTCGTGGTATATGCCTAGTAAGCAAACTGTTAACAAACTAATAACCACATGAAAGACTGCTTCAGATAACTAATAATTAGAGAAACGCACACCGAAACAATCCTACAAATTGGCAAAGATGACAAAAAATGGGCAAGGTCAGCGTTGGAGGGGTTATAGGAAGATAGGCACACTAATTAGTGGCGCTGTGAATCAGTAAAACCATTTTGGAAGAAGCTGTCTATTCAGATGTTTTAGTCTGAGTCAGAGTTCTAGAAAAGCTGTACTATAGGCAGCTGCCCAGATACAAAGACTGAGGATAAATGCAGACATTTTCCCTCCAAGTTTTCAGCTTGAGCCTTATGCAGTGGTAGTGTTGTGTCTATTCTTCCTTTTCATATATAACTTCCACTTGGAGAATGTTTGATTGTTACCTATTCCTTATCCTCCTCTTTCCCATTATGTCAGAACAAGCTGACTTTTACCTTTGAAATTCACTGTTATTGCATATATAACAGGAGAGAGACCAGTGTTATGGCAGAAATACACAAAAGTATTCCTGTCCTGCTTTGAAATCCTTTCCTGATAACTCCTTATGGCAGGGAAGTGGCCCAGAGTTCTCAAAGGCTATTACAGTAGAAAAAAAGCTCTTATAAGTACTACCAAGCTAAAAGGTGCCAAGTTTGTCCCCATTGTGGACTGTATGTATTATCTGAAGACCAGCCAAACAAATGTTGGGATGGCTCATCACCAAAACAATGGCCACTTGTTGATAAATTTTTTCAGACAGCAATCATGAGGTATAGATGGATTGTAATTTTCAATAGTTGAAGGAAGTATATAAACAAGTGAAATCATAGATCTTGATTCCCTTTCCATAGCTTTACTGGACCAGTGCCTGTTTTGTTATATCAGTATAGATTTGTGCCCTAGATAGATAACTTGAGTGACCTGCAAAGTAAGAAATGGCCACACTCAGGGTTCATAATGTCAGTTTGAGGCTGATTTCAGTATTCATTGGTTTACTGAACATTTGTTAAAAGTGATAGTTGTTTTTTTTTTAATCAGAGTTGCATTTTTTTCTGTTTAGTGGCCTATGCCTGAGGTTTCTAAATACTCATGCAATTCTACTAATTTAATTTTAGAACCAGATGTAAGTTCAGAGGAGTCTGCTTCTACTGGAGAAGAACAAGAAAATGAAACTCCACCTGCTACGTCAAGTGAAACTGAACAGCCAAAGGAAGTGGAGAAAGAGGAAAAGGGAGAAAACAAGCCTTCTGAAGAAACCAAAAAGGAGTAAGTAGTTATGTCTCCTCTGAATCATAGTTATTGATGACTCAGATTCCTTGTAAAAGGAATAGAGATAGAATCATTCCATTGCAGATTTGGAGAAGAAAAATATATAGTACTGCTGCATAGGTTTTGAACTTAGGTACATGTTATATACTTTGAACTGATGAAGCTCATAGTTCAAATAATTCAAAAGTAACTCATATTTGGCTTTAGAAAGTGTTTTTAGACTTAGGTTTTTATTGGATGTGAGTATCTGATTTTACATTCATAAAGTAAAACACTTCAGACAAAATAACTGTACTATAAAGATGTGATTTGGAAGAAATTTACCATCTTTCTGCTAACTCCATGTGAAGAATGTCTCTTACTAACCAAAAGTAGAAATTGCTATTCTCTACCCACCCTCTCCCAAATTGCTAGTTTATTCTTTCCCTAAAAGGTGATCTTTTTAAATATTACTAAAATGAATAGATGACTTTCAAATTTTGAAAACAAGATTTGCCGTGGTTAATCTGCAAATGATGGAATTTGAATGACGAAGAGTTGATTCTCTGTTTTTCACAAGAGTGGGTAGCAGAAAGAAAGACTTCAAATTCATTCTATCCTTTACGTTCTTGACCTAACAATGTTAATTATCCCCATATTTAATAATATTTAATAGATAAAAATACCCAGGAACTATAAATTCTGGGTTTAAATCTTTTGAGAATCCTTTACCCTTCTCCAAGCTTGCAAGTAGTTACCAAAATTGTAACTGGCCTGTATAATTGTCAGAAATCTTGCTCCATGCTTCTAGGTATCTTAATGATACTGTACTCACTATGGGATGAAGTAATAATCTCAAAGAAGGTGTTAACGAAGCTATGAGGTCAATTTCAGTTTTTTATTAAAATTACTTTTGAACTTGTAGCTTTTTTTCTTATTTGGCTTAATTTCTTCTGTGTCCTGGACCTCCAGGCCATTGCCAATCTGAATGATTCCTCTTCCTTGCAACAAAAACATAAACACCTTCTGGTTCATTTTTGGAACTTGATGTGTTAAAAATTATTCCTGTTATATAAATTCTTAGGTTTTAAAAAATAAAATTATACTGGTTGCCTTTCCTTTCAGAGATGACCCTCCATGTTTACCTTATTTAATTGAGCTTTTTCTTATTTTAAAGTGAGAAAGATCAGACTAAAGAAAAGGAGAAAAAAGTGAAAAAAACAATCCCTTCCTGGGCTACTCTTTCTGCCAGCCAGCTTGCTAGGGCACAGAAACAGACTCACATGGCTGCTTCCTCACGCCCCAAAATGGATGCAATCCTCACAGAGGCCATTAAGGCAAGTGAAAATTCATTTTAAATTTATATTCTTGACAGTTCATTTTTATATTAGTTTTGTTTATCATTTGCTTACTTTTTAAAAAGAGACTATTTTTCCAGAAAATCTAAGTCTTATGTTTTGCTTCTCAGCAAGTATTTGAATACTAAAGAACCAGTGTAATGTTTTAATACTTTTAAAAAGATAGACATATTTGCATTTGCTGAGCATTGTTAATTAAAATTAAGATATTATCAGAAAGATATAGCACATGCTTTTTAGCTTACCCACAAAATTTCTATTTTAAGGTAATAGATGATGAGGAGCTATAATATTTAAAAATTATACTCACTATAGGTAGCTGTTAGGATTAGTAAGTTTTGTTTTTTATGTTCTTACAGTAGCACCGTTTTATACTGTTGTAGATAAATAGCTCTATGGGTTGAACATGAACTGAAGGTAATTTAAGAGTATTCCTAAGCAAATTGTTGGGTTTTTGTTGTTTGTTTGTTTTAAAAAAATAAAAGCCTTTTTGTTTTATTCATTTCTGTTCTCATAGCTAAGTTTCTGATATAGGCATTAATGGATCCACATTAATGGGCAGAGAGAGACATAGCTTTTAGAAACAGGCATGATAGTTCCTCTGTACCCTGCCCTAGTCAGAGGTTATTTGGAATTTTGTATTGCGTTCTGGCCACCATAGATATTGATATGCTGGAAAAGGTCTAGAAGAGGGCAGCCAGGATGATGAAGGGCCTTGAGTCTGTCATATAAAAGTCATTGAAATATCTAGGGATGTTTAACCTGGAGAAGAAAGGACCCAGGAGGAACCAAGAATCGTCTTCAACCACAGATTTAACCAATTCAGTGCTACACTGTCCTCTACCCTTAATCCCTTGCCCGTTTGATCATTGACAGATGCCTTTTTTTTTGGGGGGGGGGGAATGTAATTGGGATTAAGCGACTTGCCCAGGGTCACACAGCTAGTAACTATCAAGTGTCTGAGGCCAGATTTGAATTCAGGTCCTCCTGACTCCAGGGTCAGTGCTCTATCTACTTCACCACCTAGCTGCCCCAGACAGATCCCCTAGTTAAACCCCCGTTCAGGATTACTACCAACATCTACCTTCTCTGCACCAACTAATGTGTTGTTATACAGAACTGGTGGAAGTCAAACTGACTTGGTCCACCATAGATTTGGACCATCTCAACTGGGTCTTCACTGCAAAAAGGCAGTCCCTAATACCTGTTTGTTCCCTAGTTGATTCTTTATTCTTCCTTAAAACTTCTCCTGTCTCCCTCTTTTCCCCTCCTCTCAGCTAAGGATCATTGCTTGTACTTTACTGAGAAAGGGTTTTTAACATGACCTCCCTCCAAAGCCTTTTGACATATCCTGTTCTATCTTCTTTTACTCCAGTTTCTAATAGAGACCTCACCAAGACCAGCTCTATCATCCCCTCAAGCTGCCTTACTATGTTTCTCCCTTTCACAGCCAAATTCCTAGCAAAAGCATTTACATTCATTTCTTCAACATCCTGTCCTGTCACATCTCAGCACTTTGCCGACTGACTTCTAACCTCATCAGTCGAGTGAAACTACTCTTTCCAGAGTTTCCAGTGACTTCTTAACTGCTAAATCTAAGTGGGTTTGTTTTTTTGTTTTTTAACCAGTCTTCATCTTTCTTGATCTTTCCGCAGGGTTTCACACTGTTGACCACCCCCCATCCTGGCTTCTGTTTGTTTTTTGTTTTTCATGACGCTCTCAGCAAGTATTTATCAGGTATCTGCTGTGTGCCAGATACTGTTTTAAGTACTATTGTCATCTAGTTTTTTTTGCCCTACCTATCTCACCGCTCTTTCTCAGGCTCCTTTGCGGGCTCATCATTCACACAACGCCCAGTAAATGTACCCCAATGTGAATGTACTCTGTCCTAGACTTTCTTTTCTCTCTCCGTTCTTTCTCTTGGTATAAGACAGTCATCTGCATCTGCTATGTAGATGATTCTCAGATCTACATATCCAGTTCCTCTTTGCTGAGCTGCAGTCCTGTATCTTTAACTGCCTATTTAATATATATTTATACATAATATATATATTTTTATATTGTAATATATATTATATATTTCAAACTGCATGTCCTAGAAACATTCCAAATACAACTTGTCTAAAAAACTTGTTATCCTTGCCCCAAAACTACCTCTATTCCAAACTTCCCTATTCCTGTTGAGATCACTCTTCTTAGTTCAGTTTTGTCATTATCCTCAGCTCTTCATTCTCTTACCCCACATACCTAAACAGTTGTCAGATCTTGTCATTTTGACCTCTGCAGTACCTCTTGCACCCAACCCCTTCTCCTTCTATTCACACAGGTTCTCATCCATAGCCTCTTAATTGTTCTCTCTTCTCTCCAGTGCATCCTACACTGTCGCCAAAGTGATTTTTCTAAAGGGTAGGTCTGATCATGTCACTCTTTTAAACCCCAGTAGTTTCTTGTTACCTTTGGAATCATATAATACAAGCTTTCTGGCATTTAAAGACTTTTCACAACCTAGCCCCAACCCACCTTTCCAGTCTCATACATTGTTCCCTCCTGAGCTCCGTGGTCCAAATGACCTTTTTTCATGCTGTCCTTCACACACAACACTCCATCTTTCATCAGGCTCCACCTCTCAGAATACTTCATTTCATTCAAGACTCAACTCAAGCATCATCTTCTATATTGAAGCCTTTCCTGAACCTAATCCCACTTACTAACCCCCTCCTTCCCCAAACCACCATGTATATTCAGGTGTTTGGCTTTCAGAGCCCCTTACAATTTGGTCCCAGCTAAACTTCCAGCCTTAGGAAGCATAATTCACTTTGGTACACTCTAGGCCCAACTGGCCTCTCGACTCTTCGCACACAACACCCTGTCACACATATCTGGTCTTGGTACTGGCCATTTCCTAGACCTTGAATTCTCTTTCTCCTCTCCTCTGCCTCAGAGCATCCCTCACTTTCAGGCACCATTTTCTTTCCTGATCCACTCCAACCAATGGTACCCAGGCCGACTTTTACTTAATGACTATTTTCACTATGTCAGTAAACATTAAGTACCTGTTGTGTGCCTGGCACAGTGCTAACAGCAGGGGATACAAAGAAAGGAAAGAATACTGTGCCTGTCCTTGAGCAGTTTCCATTGTATTGGAGGACACAGTGTGTGCTATGTATTGTCTGTGCCGTTAGACTGTGAGCTTCTTGAGAGTAAGGAATATCTTATTCTTTTCTTTGTATCTCCAGTGCCTAGTCCATAGTAGGTACTTAATAAACACTGGTTTGTTGATCTGTACTTATCCATATAGTCATTGTCTTTCCCAATAGAATGAAAAGTCAATCTTGAAAGCTGGAACTGTTTCTTTTTTCACTTTGGGTCTTCAGCACCTGCCACATGCTAAGTGCTTAAGTGAATGTTGGTTGATTGACAGATTGATTATTTTCCAGGCCTGCTTTCAGAAAACTGGAGCATCAGTTGTTGCCATTCGAAAATATATCATTCACAAATATCCTTCACTGGAGCTAGAGAGAAGAGGCTATCTCCTTAAGCAAGCACTGAAGAGAGAATTACAGAGAGGAGTCATCAGACAAGTAATGATAATTCAAACAAAGGGGACATTGGGGCATTATATAGCATATTATGTTATGTTATAGTATGTTTTAAGTGTATTACCCCATTGGTTACTATCAATCTCATATTTGGTTGGGAAGCTTGTTCTCAGCCTGTTTTCCCAAAAACCTATCGTTGTTACACGGTAAATAGTTAATAGCTTATTCAGACTCAATGTGTCTGAGGACAGTTTTCCTAAACCAGAGTACCAGCTGACTTTAGAAGTAACAATATATTCCTTTTTTAATTTTTTTTTTGAGGCATTAGATGCTTTGGCCGAGCTTATATCAGATTCAGAATCGAGGCTTAGGAGAAGGGACATTCCCAAGCCCACATCATTACAGTAGTGGCAGAGCCAGGCCAAGAAACCAGATCTTTTGACTTCCAGTCCATTGTCCTTTGAACTACACCAAACTTTAGCATATCACTTGTTTGAGGAAAAATCTGCCTTGTTTGAGCCATGGCCACCTATCTGGCACTAAAGAGCTTTCTTCTGTGTCCTTGGAACTTTAAAATTGTTTGTTAAAAGGTATTAACAAGAGACACAAACAGTCATGAGAATTTTGTGTTAAACTTATTTGGGTATTAGCTTAAATTTTCCTTGATTAAAAATCAAGTTTTTTAAACAGTCTAGAGAAAGCCAGGGTAGAGAGAACTCACCTCTAGATAAAGGAATCAACTTTGATACAAGGAAAGATGATTTAAAAAAAGAATATCTGAAAAATCATCTTAAAGAATAACAATCTCTGCCTATTAAGAAAAGAGAAGGGAGGCTTCTCAAGCTGGAAATCATGGGAAAACATAACTTATATCCAGGGAGACTTCATGCTGGGAAGTGGTTATCTTTATAAGAATATGATGCATATATATATTTTTTACCTTATGTGAGTTTTTTTTCCTCCCTTTAACTGGCAGTTGTTGTTTTTTTGGGGTTTTTTTTTTTTCGTTTTTTTAGTGAGGCAATTGGGGTTAAGTGACTTGCCCAGAGTGAAACAGATAGTTAGCATTATGTGTCTGAGGCCAGATTTGAACTCAGGTCCTCCTGACTCCAAGGCTGGAGCTCTATCCGCTGCACCACCTAGCTGCCCCTTAGTTGGCAGTTCTTAATGGAGCTCTGTGGTCCTCACAATTAGTATTTGTTAATGTAGTTCACTAAATTATTTAGAAAGCATGAGATCCCCTTCCCCATCATAGAATTAAATTAGGGCTTTACTTTGGGTTTATATGACAAAGCACTATAGTGTAAATGTAGTGTGAAGGCTTTAATTCTCATTATAAATTTATTTAAAAATAGAAATAGTTGTCATTGCAATTAAAACTATTTCAGGTAAAAGGAAAAGGAGCTTCCGGGAGTTTTGTGGTGGTCCCAAATGCAGGAAAAACTGTTCAGAAGTCTAAAGACAGAAAGGTAAGATGTATATGTCCAGAAGATATTTGAACACTACATTATTACTATATTTAGCTATTTTGATTTGATAAGTTTTTTGTGAAGTTTTTCAAACTTTCCCTACACTTAGACTTGTTTTTCTTCCTCTTTATTTATTATATGCTTTTTATCTCACATCCAAGCAAACATACACACACATATACACTCTTAAATATATACCATAATATTTAAACTGTCTCTATGCTGATTATTGACATATACTTCCTAGATGTAAACAGCCACCCTGGGCTTGAACCAGGTGACTGTAAAATCTCTTATTTCTTCCAGCTTAGACTTTTCCTCTCCCACTCAATTGTTGTTACAGACTTAGTGCTGCTTAGATCCCCTTCTTGCATCTTACCTCTTCTGAGTGTCATTTAAAGATAGAGTTGCTAAATTTGATGGTGATGAAAGGGAAAGTGGATATTAACCTCTTCTATTCCTTCACCCAAAAGGGCATCCCCAGCCCTTGAGATTTCCCATGACCTAGAGTCCTTTTTTTCACTTCACCCCAAGTTCCTGTGACAAAATGTGTGGGGATGCTTTACATGTTCATCTGAAATTTAATTCAGTCCTTTTTATACCCAAATTCAGTTAACAAAAACCTACTGTAGTATATGAAAGACCTCACCATTATCTGTGAGGCCTTTATGTTTCCAAATCTCAGTGGTAGAGAGGAAAAAAGATGAATACTAGGGAGCTTTTATACACTATTTCCTTTCAAGACCTTCGTACAAGGCTTTGGGACAAGAAGGTGGTAGGGTAAATGTAGTGAGCCTGTTTTGTTCCGCAGTCAGAGGAGAAAGAGAGAAACGCTGTTGGAAAACAACAGGGAAGGTCACTGAAAAGGAAATTGGGCCAGCCAGTGCCTGGGACCCTAAGAAGAAAAGCATGTCAAAGAAATGCCACACCAACCCTACTCCTCACCAAACTACCCCTCCCCCTAGCACTAGTTCAAGGTAAGAGTTGTGAGAGACGGATCACCATTTGTCTCTTCCCAGATCCTTCCTTGTCTAAGCTCCAGTCCCAGGAGCAGCTAGGAGATAAGAGGGCCTGAGGCCCCCTGAGGGGTACAGCAGAGAGAAGAAGGTGCACTCTTATCGTCCCATATTGGAACTCAGAATTTATATACCCTTAGAAACAATTGGAAACTAGAAGGCTGTGCAGATTATAATTAAGCTACCTCATGAATTAAATGAACTTTCAGGGAGCCAACTGGGAACCTAATTACTATATCTAAGATCATATGACTAGAAAAATGCGTAGTACAGAGAAGTTTTAAACAAATAATTCTGAAAACCACCTGTGGATGAGTTGGGGGCTAACTCTACATACAGCTCAAGGCAAGATTGTTCCCTTCATCCTTGCAACTCTTTGCATCTTCTTCACATATGGATTTCTTCTAAGAGAGCCTACAGATTCTGAACAAGCTCACTTGCAGGGGTCTTTACCCCTAAGTCTTCTGTCACTTAGCACAGGCCTCCTAGCACAGAGTAAGCATTTAATACAAGCTTGTTAACCATTTGCTGTTAATACAAGGAATGATTTCTTAAATGCCCCCAAAAATATTCTGGGCTCATTGAGTCTGGATATAATGTCCTAATGGAGACCTGTAGAAGCTCCTTCTGCAAAAGAGTTCCACAAATTTTCAAACCTACTGTATGCATTGTACTGTAGACTATCCACTCTGATATGTAATGTGTTTTGGATATCTAGAAAGAAATTAATACTTCTCTCAGCTCCATGGATTTAACAAATAATTTGTGGAAGCAAGACATATATGTAGTTAAAAGAAAGGAAACAGAGGAAAGACATTTATTTAGATCTTTGCCATAGGACTTGTCAAAACTTTGAATAGCGTGAGGGCTCCTACATCGTCTACTCTGTTTGACATAGTGTTTCACATGTTGAAGTATTTCTTAACAAAATTTTATGTGTTCTTGAGTGACTTATATTTGGGATATGTTGCATTCCAGAAGAGTAGTTCTACATTAGCTCCAGAACAGCAGGTAAAATTGGAAGATGTTCTCCCACTGGCCTTCACTCGCCTTTGTGAACCTAAAGAAGCTTCCTACAGCCTGATCAGGAAATATGTGTCTCAGTATTATCCTAAACTTAAAGTGGATATCAGGTATGGATACGTAGTGTAAAACTGAAAACATGCAAGCTCTGAAATGTTGAGATTTTAAAATGTCTTTCCCTTGGCCCTTTCCAAGGTTGGAGCTTGGTCAGGGCAATGAGAATGTCAGATATTAGGGCTGATGTTCTTCTAGACACATGACAGGTTGGAATATTAAACTTCTAGTCCAGTGTGATTACCATGTCTTTGCAGCTCCTAGTATACAAAATAATAGAATTTACTCTGAATATTCAGTATTACTAAGCAGAACTGTAGTCAGGAACTTTAACCTTGAATGTTTTCAGTACTTTTAAAGTTTGTATACCATTCATCTATCTTCACATGTGGATTTTGTAGTATCTATGTTTTAAACATGTCATGTAAAATTATGGGCAAATTCTTGTAGTAGTTAATTTATAAAAGATACTGCTTACAAATATTTGAACTGTCATTGGGCTTATCTCCCATGCCTGGTTGTGAGCTTGATCTTACATATGTGAATTTATTTGAGTTTGCAGTCACTAAAATTTCTCTTTGGAGGTGAAGTTGAAATTATACATTGAAATGTAGATAGGGTGATTATTTCACAGTTAATTGTGCGGTGCTACATAATACCTTGTTTATAAACACGGGTCTTCAGTCTGAAATACAAAATATTGCTTGTTATTGAAATAGAATTCATAAGGTTTGCCCTGAACCTTTTTAACAGAAGGATACTATTCAGAGTGTAGAATAATGTTTGCTCTAGTGCCAGTTCTTGTTTTAGTAACTGAGGCAAATCAAGTTGCTAAAATTTTAATCCAGAAGCAAAATTTTTAGAAAACTGTTAAATTATTTTCAGAGTACCAAATTTAAGCATTAATTTATTTAACACTCTTTAGAACTTAACACATGGAATCATGAAATTGTGAATCTATGCTGTGAGCTTCATTGAAATAGTTCTTGTGTCCAAAAAGACAAACTCAGGGGAAGAAATATAGTATGAACACTTAAACATGGAAATTCATTTTACTTGCAAGTCCCTCTATTGTAAGATTACTGGTAGTTATAGGTACATGCAGTAGCTCCCCAGCAATTTTCTCTTCTGTGTGATTCTATAGGGCTTAAACAAACAGTGAACCAAACTTTAGCTTGTTGTGTATGTTGGAATCATAAAGTGTTAGAGCTGGATGGAACCTCAGAGGTCTGATGCAGTTTCCTCATTTTATAAGTAAAGTAACAAAGGCTCAAAGAGGTAATGGGATTTACCTAAGGTTGCAAAGCAGGGACCTGAACCCAGTGCATTTTACTCATTGTGCAACGTTCTTTCCTTCACATTACCTTTCTGACTAATATTGTAGAATATGTGCCTCAGTGTGACAGCAGTTACTTCCATTGTAGTTTTCTAGATTGCTTATCAATATATAGAAGGCAATAAAATGAAAGGTCTTTTATCATTCATTATGTTATTTGACTTTTCTGTGTCATTTAACAATGTTAATTATCCTTTCCTTGAAACCTTGGATTTTGTGAAACCAATAGAACCCATAATTTCCTCCTCCTTTTTTGACAGCTTTTTCTGCATCTCATTGCCTAAATGTAGATATCCCAAGATTTAGTCCTAAGTCTTCTGCTTCTCTCTCTCTCTCTCTCTCTCTCTCGTGACTCTCTCCAGATAGTTCGTTGATTGTCATAGTTTCATCTGTGAAGATGAGCTCCATATCTCTTTGTCTCATCCCAACATTTTTAAGGTCATTCATAAACAACCTGCTGAACATACTTCTCCATGGATTTCCTATTTCCCATAAGTATGCCTCTTTAGCCTTGAGGAATGTGTCTCTACTCTAGGTCATCAGTGAAAATATGCTATTCGTTTTTTTTTTAATGGAAGAAAAATTTCATGTGAAAAAGAGAAGAGAAAAGATCTGAAGAGTTAGAATATAACCCTGACCTGTGTCAGGAGGATGGAAAAAATTGTTAATGAGGAAAAAAAGAAGAAGGAATTTTGAACATGTGAACCTAAGAAATAACTATGAGATGCTTTCCATAGCAATGGGAGATAATGACTGGAACCTCTGAGGAGAAAACAGTTGCTTATATTTCAAGGAATGGTCAAATATAAATCCTATAAGAGTTAGAGACAAAAGATATGAATACTAGTTGATGATTCTCTGGTGAAGGGTACTGAAACAACCATTTGTCAAACTAACATTAAGAGTACAGAGTTCTGCTGTCTTCCCAAGTTGTATATCTGGGTTATAATGGACAATTGCCCGAGATTTCTCATACTGACTACCTTTGATGAGTCACTGGAACTCAAATGATGCTACCAAAAGTATAGAAAACGTGGGAAAGGTTTATGAAGTCCTGGGCAGTCTTAGAGTTACACGTGGTCATTTCATCAGTGCTGTCCTGCCAAAGACTAAAGAAGGGAAAGGCAGGTTGGGAAACATGACTTGTTTTTAGTAGCTATAAGTTTTACTAAAGTGTAGTTAGAAAAAAAGAGTGTATGTTGGAAAGAGAACTGATGCTGTGGAAAGGCACTGGACCAGACTCTCTCCAGAGACCCTTCCACCACTTACATGCAGTGATCTGGCCAAGTGAACAAGTTGAGATCATGTCAGAACAGTGTTGGATTTCTGGACCCAGCTCTTGGTCTTGGATGAAGTATACCTAAAAAGGGCTGGTAAAGATAGATTTGCCTAGAGTCTTGCAAATATAATCAAAAGGGCTTTATATTGAGAAAAGTGGGTAAGGAGAACAGAAGGAAGAGCTGCCCAGTAATTCACAGGAAACAGAATCCAAAAAAGAGCCAGCAGTGAGAAACTCATGGCCTTAAACATCTTTATATAAATTTTAAAGATTCCAAAGCAGGAAGGCAAATTTGATCTCATTGAAACTGGAACATGACTCTGGAAGAGTACATCTTATTCAAAGGCATGAGAATAAATTGGGGAAGGGATAGAACTGTATATTAAGAAGATCCACTCCTGTGAAGAAACCCAGAGGAGAAAAGCCTAGTGGAGAGTATTTCAGTGAAGATCAACAAGAAGCTCAATCCTCAAGCATTTATTAAGCTCCTGCTCTGTACCTAGCACTGTATTAGGAGAATCAAACCATATTCTTATGCAAGTGTACTTCACGGTACTTAAATAGAAGGATGAAACAGAAGAGTCAGGAGATAGTTCAAAAGCCTAGCATCGAGGAACTACATATAGTACTAAATGATACAGAACTTCAGTTATTCAGACATTGCTAGAGCTCTTTGCCTGAGAGAGAGCAGCTGATTCTTGGCTCACTTTAAATGATAATTTTATCCTTCACAAGATCCCTGAAATAGAGTAATTTCTATAATGAATATCAATGCAAAAATCTTAAATAGAATACCACCAGAGATATCACAGCAATATATCGCAAAGGTCATATACTATGACCAGATGAGATTTTTTTTTACCGAGAATGTAAGGCTGGTTCAGTATTAAGAAAACTGTAAGCATAATTGGCCATATCAACAACAAAAATCGTATGATTATATCAGTAGATGCCAAAAAAAAAAACTTTGACAAAATATAATACCCATTCCTTTTAAAAATGCTAGAAAGCACAGGAATAAATGAAGCTTTTCTTAAAATGATAAGTAATATCTATCTAAAACCAAGAGCAAACATTGTCAGTAATGGAGATAAAACTAGAAACCTTTCCAGTAAGATCAGGGATGAAGCAAAGATGTCTGTTATCACCATTACAAGTCAGTACTGTACTAGGAATGCTAGCTATAGCAATAAGACAAGAAAAATAAAATGAAGGTATAAGCATAGGCAATGTGAAAACAGCTATCACTTTTTTTGCAGATTATATGATGGTATACTTAGAAAACCCTAGAGTCACCTAAAAAACTAGTCAAAACAATTAACAACTTTAGCAAAGTTTCAGAGTATAAAATAAACCCACACAAATCATCAGCTTTTCTGTATATTACCAACAAAGCCCAACAAGAAGAGATAGAGGAATTCCATTTAAAAGAGCTGCAAACTGTATAAAATGTTTGGAAATATATCTGCCAAGACATACACAGGAACTGTATGAAAACAGTTACAAAACACTCTTCACACAAATAAAAACAGATTTAAACAATTGGAGATAGATTAATTGCTTATGGGTAGGCTGAGCCAATATAATAAAAATGATGATACTAAATGACTCTGAGGTACCATCATCTCCCCCATCAAATTGGCTAAAATGACAGAAAAGGAAAAATACAAGTGCTGGAGAGGATGTTGAAAAATAGGTACTTTAACGCACTGTGGTAAAGCTGTGAGCGGCTCCAACCATTCAGGAAAATAATTTGGACCTATCCCCAAAGAGCTGTTAAACTGCATTCATAGCAATACCACTGCTAGGTCCATGTCCCAAAGAGATCAAAGGAAAAGGACCCAAACGTGATCGTTGTGGTCAAATAGGATTTTATAGGTAAATGAATAATGGAGTCGTCATCATTTAGAAGTCTGTGTGTGTTCAGAATTGCAGCAGAAACGGGAGTGATAAATCGCCTCATATCGCCTTTGCTTTAGGCAAGGTGTCCAGGTGCCTATAAATGGTTGTTTGGCCAGTTCTGTTTTAAGAAAACAGAATATCATGAGAGTTTAAAACCGAAGGGACCTTAGAAAACTGTCTGCCAATTTGTTGTCTTGGATTTGTATGATTGTTACCTGTTTCGTATTTTTTATTTCCCCCTCAGACCTCAACTGTTAAAGAATGCACTGCAGAGAGCAGTAGAGAAAGGCCAATTAGAGCAGATCACAGGCAAAGGAGCTTCTGGGACATTCCAGGTCAGAGGCCAAAGGTTCATTTTTAGAACTTGTTTGGCTTAATCCTTTTTTTTTTCCTTGATCTCTTTTATATTACCTTTTATACCTACCTGAACCCACTTCAGAAATATGCTGTGCATGTATTTTTCTTTAGTAAGGTACCTTGACTGTTGCTAAACTTTTCTCTTTGTTGTTATCCTTACAGGGTTTATAGGGTTATTTATTATTTTCACTAGTACACAGCTTCTTCATTTTTCAGATTGCTAAAGGGAAGTATTCTCTGATATAAAAAGGATTTAATTCATTTCATCCATGAAAATGTAGTACGTATTCTTTCAAAAGTAGCATATGTGGAGCCTGTTAAGTGCTGTTGCACAGAAGTTTAACCTGTGTAGTTCACATGAGTTACAAGTTACCTAATATACCTATTGGGGTAGTTATACCTAGGCCTGAGGAATTGCCAACTATTTATACTTTGAGCAGTATGAAAGCAGCAAACGGGAGAAGAAAATAACTGAGAGTGTCCATAAGAGGGTTTGGGGATTTTAAATTAGTTAGTTTAGGTTCTTGGTGGTTGGAAAGCAAAAGTCCCTAATGCGACATTTTAATTTAAAACATATCTGTGCTAATGCAGGAGCTCCGACCCACCTGGTGCAGAGGAGTCTTGTCTTGACCTGCTTTGGGAGAGTGTTGTCTTGATGCTTTTCTCTTCCTCCTTGGAAAACAGCTGAAGAGATCAGGGGAGAAACCCCTGCTTGGTGGAAGTCTGATGGAAGACGCAATCCTGTCTGCTATTGCTGCCATGAACGAGCCGAAGACCTGTTCAACAACTGCTCTGAAGAAATATGTCTTGGAGAACCACCCAGGGACCAATTCTAATTTCCAAGGTAAGACTTAGGTGTGCACTTAGCATGGGCAGGGGAGCTCACTATGTTTGCCCAAGGACTGTGCTATCAGTGCTAGCACAGACACACCACGCTGTAGGGAGAGATGGTACCTCTCTGGTGGAAGTGGAAATGCAAAGGCATCAGTAACTCACCCACACATGAACTGTGTATTGTACACTAAGCACTTAGTCAGGTTGGGATGGTGACATTGGTACCGAACAGAACATTACAACAGGAGATAAGGAAGTGGAGTACTATGAGAGCAGATGAGGAAGGACCACTCCTCTCTAAGTGGAGAAACCCTGTTCATGGCTGGCCATTCCTCATGGCTCATAGAAAGAGCACTGAACTCAGGGTCACTAGACCTCATTTCAGAGCCTAGCTCTGCTACTCTTACGTCTGGGACCTCAAATCACTACAACCTGCCTGAGTGCCCCTCATGGGTAAAGTGAAGATCTGGACTGAAGGATTTCAGAGGTCAGTTTTATCATTCTGGGATGCATAAAAGGAAAATGATGGGGTAACTACATGAAGATTTTTCTATTCTCAAGCACAGTTGTTTGTGCTGGTTTTGAATGTTCATTGAATAATAGCTAACACTTATGTTACTCTTTAAAGTTTGCAGAGAACTTTACACATTACACACATTTACATATTTGATCCTTCCTGGAAGGGATGTGCTGTTATATTATTCCCATTTTATAAAGGAGGAAACTGGGGAACAGAGAGAGAAAGTGATTCATCCAGGGTCACATAGCAAGTGTTGAGGAAGATGGTCCTGAATTCAGATCAGTATCCTATCCACCGTACCACCCAACTGCCTTTTATGTATATAAGTGATTCTAACCTGAAACTCAGCAAGCAAGTTCAAAGAAAAATGTGAAACTAATAAATTCAGTAACTCAGAGAAAATTACAGAGTGAACCAAAGCAAATTATTTTAAGTAAAAAAAATGGTCTTGGAGTCTGATTAGAGTTTTTCATGGGATGTACCATTTACTTTTTTATTTGAGGGCATGCTTTCTAGAAGTGTTTTTCTTTTCAGTCTAAAGTATCTTTTTCAGAGGAGGGAATTGCTCATGGTGATTATGTTATACTCTTTCTGCCTAATTTGTGAATTGAAGGAAGATGATTATTTAATTTTTTAACAAATGGAAGCTTTACTAATTTGACATTTACTCTTTGAACACAGAATTTTTATGCATATTCTCAGTTTTTGTCTAAATCCACATTTAAAAAAAAAACAAAAACCTGCCCATGTCCCATGAAGTCATTGTATAATACCTACCTACTTGAGGGAGTTCAGTTCTTGATCTTAAACAACTAGAAAGCATTGGAATAAATTTCAGGATCTTATCAAACTATCCTTGCCCCTTGCTGCAGTTCAAGATAGTCTCTCTGTCCCCTTTGGATGGCTCTGGAATGGATCTCTTAAGGCAGCTTTGGCCCAAACTCTGCTTCATGAGACCCTTGGGATATCATGAGAATGCAGACATTTGAACTTTGGCCAAGGAGTATGCCCAGTTTTTTGCCAGAATATTGCATATTCTCCTAGAGCAGGGGTTCTTTATTTGGGGTCTGTGGATTGATTTCAGGAGATCTGTGAACATGAATGAGAAAAAAAGGACACCTTTATTTTAGTAGAGTTGGTTTCTTTTGAAATCCTAGGTATTTTATTTTATGCAGTTAAAAAAAAAAAGCCAGACTGCCAAAAAGGACCATGACACAAAAAAGATTAAGAACCCTTATCCTAAAGGCACCAATTGTTTTATATAAAATTACAGTATTGATTGATAGATTTTTGCTTTTTGTTCTCAGTGCATCTACTGAAAAGAACCCTACAAAAGTGCGAAAAGAATGGATGGATGGAACAGATCTCCGGGAAAGGCTTCAGTGGCACCTTCCAGCTTTGTTTTCCATATTATCCCAGGTAAAGAGAGGTTTTTACAGATGACGTCAAATGACCTGTTGTACAATACAATTGAATTCCTAGAGTCAAGGTCTTACTGAGCAGGATGAGACTTTAGAAATCATCTGGGGCCTAAATTCTAGTCTAACCTTTGCATCTTGCAGATGAGTAAATGAACTTGAGAGGTTAAGCCCTAAGGTTTCATAGCTAGGAGCTGTTTCCATCTAACTAGTTCTTAATGGTCCCTGTTCTCAAATCCATTAGACTGTGAGTAGTTATGCTGTTCCTTCTTTATCAAACAAATAATTGAATTTTGGCATCTGATGCTGCAAATCCCAACTTAGACTGTTAGACTGTACCGTGGTCATATAGCATAGAGAGCTGGAGGGATTCAGCATCATATGCTCCTAAGTGCTTTGGTTTTGCTTCTTAACTTGTAACGTGCAGGAGAGTCAAGAATTCCTATCTGATATATGTTGTGATTTCTCAGAAGTAGAGAAATCCAGGTGCTTCTTCTAGCCCCTGTTAAAAGTGCTTGTGATCCCACTGGTGTTGGTATACCCAGTGATAGAAAGCCTAGCCCATCCATGCCCTCTCACTCTGAGTAATGTAATTTAATCTTTACTAAAACTCTATGACATACATCCTTAATATTTTAAGAGAACCTCATTGTGGTTTTATTCTACTTTGGGAACAAGCATAAATTTTATTGAACTTCTTATTAAGTAATAGACCAGCCCTTTTGGTTTAATTGTGTTGATATGTTGTATTTTACAAATGAAATATTCTTCATATAAATTTCAAAGCCTAGTATATTGTGGTATTATTTTATAGGTGTACTCATCAGAGTGACCAATAATTCCTATTATTGTGGACAGAAAAAAGTGGAAGATCTTAGCTTTTGATGCCATACAGTTTTTACAAAATATAAAATACTCAGTCCCTTTTGAAATTTCAAGTTCTGAACTGCTTTGTTTGAATTTTTGGAGGCATGACACTTTTTTTAAGGCCGTGAATATGAGGGAGCTGGGAAAATTGGAGCATGGAGTCCTGGTGCTGCTCATGTATGTTTAATAAAGGGGTGTGTGTGCGTGTGTGTGTATACACCTACATTTTCAGAATAAATTGTAACTCCCTCATTTGTAATCATGTAGGGGACTAGGTTATTTTGCTTGTTTTGCTATCTGCTATTTAAGGGTACATTGTTTTGACTGTCCTGAATAGGACTTTCGTTTTAACCTGAGTTCTTTTCACAGCCCAGGAGTGTTATTTCCAGAGAAGCAGCAAAGTGAAGAGTCTGAGGAGTCTGAGGATGATGATTCAGAAGAAGAAGATGAGGAAGATTCATCTGAGGAAGAAGAATCTGAAGATGATGAACCACCACCTAAGAAACGGTATAGAAATTTGAAATGACTTTATCCAAGGTAAACAGATTGTGTCTGGAGAATAATTATAGGTCACAGAATCACTAAGTGTTGTAGCCAGAAGGAGCTCTAGAGATCATATATTCCATACACCCCATTTTACAGATGAGGAAATTGAGGCCCAGGGGCTTCTTAGGAGAATAAATTTAGAGTTAGAAGGGAATTGAAAAGTCATCTGTTTCAGTCACTTATTTTACAGAAGAGGAAAACTGATGCTCAAAAAGCTTAAATTACTTACTGAATATAACATAAAGACAGAAACTCCTTTAGCACCACTGGTTGGTTCCTCATTTAATGATACATTTGTTTTTTAATCTTTTCCTTGAGTCATCTTTCCCAGTTGCCTCTTTAAACCAGTGAATCCATAATACTCCTGAACCAAATTCTATTCTTTATTCCAAACCTTGCCTAGCTTTGTTGGCAGAAGAGTCATCAAAATCTTTGCTGTTGCCAGCATATACTTTACTGCACAACCTTCTTATAGATTGCAAGATCATAGCATTTTAGAGCTGGAGATCATTTAGCCCATCCCCTCATTTTACAGAGGATGAAACTGAGGTGACACTACTCATTCTGGGTCACTTAGCACCCACCTGGCAGAGCTGGGCGTAGGACCAGCCAGCTTGTAGGTTGTAAACTTCATGAGGACAGAGAATACTTTACGTTTTGTATGCCCAGGCCTAGCATAGTGCCTTACACTTACTAAATCCTTACCGAATTGAATAGTGCATGACATAGCTCAGACTTTTTCTGTGTCTAGCACTCTGCTCACTCTTCTCTGCTGCCTATCCACCAAGAGAGTATTTTAACAAATAGAAAGTTTATTCATTTGAGCTTTCTTTTTGGTACCTAAAAGTTCTTGAACTCTGGAAGCAAGTTCTAAACTTTTTATTTTTTTTTAAATTTTTTATTTTATTTTTGCTTTTTGGTGAGGCAGTTGGGGTTAAGTGACTTGTCCAGGGTCACACAGCTAGTAAGTGTCAAGTGTCTGAGGCCTTATTGAAACTCAGGTCCTTCTGACTCCAAGGTTGGAGCTCTATCTACTATGCCACCTAGCTGCCCCATTAAACTTTAAACCAGAGGCATGCTATGCATAAGCACAGTGAATGTTTAATTTGGTGTTTTGCCAAACAAATAAAAATTTATTGGCAAAATTGGAGCTAGGCAAGGACTTAAACAACATCTGTTAATTTTGTCCCACTTTGGCCAACTTTGCCATTTCGTGGTGTGACCCTAATCATTTGTAAGAGTTCCCATCTATATCGTGACTTTTTTGGCAAAGCCGGCAGGCTCTTTGTCATCCTGGAAAATGGGAGGTCTCATAGGCCCAGCTTTTTACTTTTGCTTCACTTTTTAACAGATTGCAGAAGAAAGCCCCAGCTAAATCCCGAGGGAAGGCCACCTCAGCAAAACAAAGAGATTCAAAGCCTAAGCCCAAAACCCCTGCTGCCCAACGAGGAAAAGCCAGACCTCCCCCCAAAAAAGCCCCACCCAAGGCCAAAACCCCCACCAAGAAAACCAAACCAGCCCCACCAGCCATCAAGAAGTCTGGTAGCATCTCTTCCAAGAAGCCAGCAGCAAGTGGGAAGAAGGATGGGAAGTCTTCCACCAAGGGCAAATCCAGGAAGTCTCTCAGAGCAAAGAAGTGAAATGCAGGCCTGGAGCACCGTGGCAAAATTCAACATATTATTTCTGAAGGTCATTGTGCATTTGATTTAGTTTTGATGCTTTTAAAATTGTATTTTTTTTCTTTGAAAAGCAAGGGGAGGGAAGATAAAATAAACCAACTTAGTCATTTGTTAGCTTTAGGTACTATTCTCGGTACCTGTCCCTCTCCTCAGTCATTTTAGTTTCTGCAACAGTTCAGGACTTTTCTAGACTGTGTAATCTCTACTTGTTCTTTTTTCCTTTCCCTCTCCCCCAACCCCTTTTTCCTCTTTTAAGTGGTGAGCTTAGGCTTTACTATTTGGTTTTCTTTTAAACAATTGCAAAGAAGATTTTTATATTTTTAGAAAGCTTCAGGAACAGAACAATGTGACATCAGCTGCTAGAAGTAAAGAGGGAGGCAGTATGACGCTTCTGCCTCCAGGGTCTTCTGCGTTGTGGCTATAGAGCTTTCTTTTATTAGTAAAACTGCTCCACCAACTCTCCCACAAGAAACAGAGGGGCTTCTTTTAGCTTTTGAGAAGTAGCCACATATGTTATGATCCCATTGAAATCTGAAAGGAGGCGGCTTCCATGGGCCATAACCAGCCCAGACCAGAGCAGTGTCTCCACATCAAGCACAATTCTCACATCACTTGGGTTTTTGGTTAAATAGTATTACAGAAATGCATTGTTGCTGTGATTCTTCATGTCATTGATCTGTTACTGAAAAACATAGCATATAAAAATCTTCTTAATCAAATGGTGTATATATATATTTATATATATATATATATATATATATATGTGTGTGTGTGTATATATATATATATATATATATGTATATATATAAAATTTTTTAAGACTTAGCACCTAAGTTGTCACTTCCTATTTGCCATTTTAAAGGGAAATATTGGAGAGTTATGTGGTTGCTAATGTAGAGATGCTGATAAGTGGGGAAACATACAGTTTGCTAAAAATAAATGAAACTAGATTCCAGACCCATCTCGTCCCCTCCTCCCACCCCATCTTCCTTTCCTCAGCACCTTTGACGTCATTTGGGTGGCTTCGTCGCTGAGATTTTTTTTTAAAGTAAATGAAGCCTGACTACCTAACCCTTTTTTCTTTGTATTTTGTTTTGGTATTGTGAGGTTGTGTTAAATATTACTAAGCTTTCTATCTGAGAAATTTCCATTTCTGATTCTTAATTTAACTTCCCTGTGGCACTTAAAATTTTTATTGTCTTAAGATATTCAATGTACATTTTCTGGTCCTTTGAGTACTGCCAGAGGCTAAAACCTGTTTGTTTCATATTCATTCCATGTGCAGTCTGTTTTCTGGGATCCTTTCTGTAGCCTCAGTTTGGCTAAGGAATGGACTTGCGAAGATTAGCTTGATTTAGAGTCATACTCATGTGTGATCCCATCATGAATTTATCGGAATTTGTGTTGCATGTAAGGCAATCTTTCCTGTTGTAAATCTTCCTTTTTTATGTACATATATTTTGAAAAGTATGAATAAACATGAAATTTAAAAGGCTGTGGGGCTGTAGCTTTTATTTTAAAAGTTTGTGGTCTATCTCCAGAAGTAGCAAAACATCACCCTTCCTTTGAAATCTTTTCCTTCTTGACATATTAAGCTATTTTCTCTGTTAGGTTTTTTTTTTAATAAAAGTTCCAGTTTGGTTGTTTTCATGGAACTACAGAATGTTGGAGCTGTAAAGGACGTGCACAAGAATCTCCTTTACCTCCTGCCTACTCCAGCCTTTGCTCAAAGACCTCCAGTGAAAGGGAGCCCATTCCCCCTTGGGATGGCTCCACATGTTAGTAAGCGTCACCCGCCATCAAACCTCAGTTTGCTTCCTTGCAGCCTCACCCATTTGTTCTGGTTCTGCCCTGTGGGAGCAAACTGAACATGTCTGTACCCACTAAAGACCTGCCCCCTGATAGCTCTTGAATCTTCTAAACCTGAAGGCAGCGATCCTGTCCCCACCATGTTTTCTCTTCTTAAGACTACATATTCATAGGTCTTCGACCTCTTTCACTGACCACCTCAGGACAGCCTCAGGCTTACATATCTCTTTCTGCAGAACTGAACCCTAGGGCAGAGAACCACATGGCCATCACCTCCCAAGAACGGTCGCCTTTGGTGGCCCCCTGGACTTTCTTGGCTGTCACTGCATTCTGCTAACTCATATTGAAACTGGAGTCCGGTGAGACCCCAGTATCGATGTTCAAAATATTTTTAATCCTGTCACCTAGCATGGAAGCAGGTACGTGGCAGGTAACAACCTGTCCTCCTCGACCTGGGATGATCTGCAGCAGCACTTCATCCAGGCCTGGGAGGCTAAAATAAAAACGTTCAACAGCAAAGATCCCTGGCATGTTCCACCAGAGAGCTAATTCTCAGTTCACATCAGACCACTGACCTTCATTCAGCCAGTTCTGACCTAAGTCCCACCAGTGTCTCCACTTTTCCACAAGTATAGTAGTAATAAGAAATTGAAACAAATGCTTTGCTTTGCTAAAATCTGGATTAAAAAAAAAACAACTGTAACAAATTGCTTGCCTTCTCAGTGGTAAGGGGTGGGGGAGGAAAGAGAATTTGGAACTCAAAATTTTAAAAGGTTAGGAATTATTTTTATGTGTAATTGGGGAAAAAATAAAATGTTAAATCCATTGAAATCTTGGTAAACTACATCTATAGCTCTGTCCAGTTTTGCAACCCTGTCATAACAAAAGAAATAATCTTAATGGGGCTTGCCCCATTCTTAATGAAATCATGCCAGCTCTTTGGGATCAGAAGCCGTGTGTCAGTGGAAAAAGGTATTTCCAAAGGCAGTAATGCTTTATTAAGCCAGTGTTGTAGAAGACATCTCAAATATTCAGTTCAAACTCTGTTCCTAGGACCTCATGTCACATCTTTCATGATCTTGGGGCTTCTTGTTACCACACAACCCCAATTGCCCCACCCCCCCAAAAAAATATTACCACAAACTAGGGGAAAATGGCTCCCATGGCTGCATGTTCCATTGAAGGTGGAGTAGGAGCAAAGACACCTACAATCTTGTGATAAGCCAGATGTATATTCAGATGAATTTTACGACTGCGTTCCTTAAAGGAATACTAATTCTTACTGTACTATGGCAGGTAATTCCTAACAGTTATGAGTGCTAAATACCTGTTCTGAGAATTACCTTTTCTTTCAGAAGCTTAGATTTGAAACATTTTATAACCTGATTAAAATTTCTTTTTTTAAACAGGCAGCTGGGGCACAGTGGACAGATGCTGGGTCTGGGTCAAGAAGACCTGCATTCAAATCCTTCCTCATACACTTCCTAGCTTTGTAACCCCAGGCAAGTCATTTACTCGTCTACCTCAGTTTCCCTGACTGTAGAATGAGGGTAGTAATAGTACCTGCCTTCTAGTTGATGTGAGGATCAAATGAGAAAATATTTATAAAGCGCTTAGCACAGTACCTGGTACATAAGAGGTGCTATATAAATGCTTCTTCCTTCTTCTTCCCCTTCCCTTGATAAGAATAATTTTTGTTTTAGCAACAGACCATACCAGAGGACAGTAGCAAAATGTAGCCTGCAACCACACACACACACACACACACACACACACACACACACACACACACACACACGTTCATTCTTCCTCTTAAGGCATACTTTGATAGGAAATAGTTTTCTCCTCTTTTGGAGAATTTCTGGGAATATTAATCTTAGCTCTCATTTATAGAGTGTTTCATTTATAAACAACCCTGTAAGGTCAGCAGTCCAAGTACTATCACCATCATTTTGTAGACAGAGAAAAGGAGGCACAGAGAGAGGCCAGTGGTTCACCTCTCTGGGGCTCATGGCTGAGAAGGCTTCTGACTCCAGGGCACTTCTTCACTTACACTTTCATCATCTTTCCTTATGTGTTCTGCAAGAAAGGAATCATTATAGGCAGCTAGGTGGCTCAGTGGATAGAGCGCTGGGCCTGGCATCAGGAAGTCCTGAATTCAGATCTGGCCTCAGACCCTCATTAGTTGTGTGACCCTGGACAAGTCACTTCCCCTCTCCCTCTGTTTTCTCATCGGTAAAATGGGGGTAATAATGGCACCTTCCTCTCCAGGTTATCGTAGGGACCAAATGAGATAATTGTAAAGCATTTCACATGGTGCCTGGCACACAGGCAGCACTACACAGATGTTAGCCATTGTAATTATTATTAATATTCTTTATGTGCATGACTTCCCGCCTAACAAGAAATATAGCATTTGTCTCACTGTGAGTGAGGGCTTTTGAACAGTGTCATGTCCTTTTGCATTTAAAGAGTAGTCAAATTGATCCAAAGGCATTTGAAGCTGAAAGATTCTGAATCTATAAAAAGAGATTCTTGTTGCAAACAGAATAAGAATACTTTCACTTTGCTAGATACACACCACCTGGAGGTGGTAATAGACATTTGAGTTTATTGAGTAGGGGAGTGGTATGGTCAGACTTGTGCTTTTGGGAGATCAATTTAACAGACAATTGAGGAAAAACTTGAGGCAGACACTCCCACCAGCAGCCTGTTTCGGTGGTCCCGGTGTGAAGAGATGAGGGCATGCATCAGATTGGGGCTGGGGGAGTATCAAAGGAGAGACGGGTGCATATTCAAGATGGGTTTCAAAGGTAGAATCAACAAGCCTTGGCAATAGATTGGATATATAGGGGGCGGGGGGCGGTGAAAGAAAGGAGACAAGGACAACCCCCAGGTTTTGAGTCTTGGGTGACTGGCAAGATGGTGGTGCCATAGACAGTCACTGGTATGTTTGGAAGAGGAAAGATGTTGATGTTTGCGTGAAAATTCTAAATTCCTCTCTGATTTTTCTACGTGCCTGGTAAGTTATTATCAACAGCATTCTTGGCGAAGATCTGATTCATGCTGTTGGGATCATACTCTTGTCACCTGCTTCTAGAGGGCCAACACTAACTACTGAAGCCCTTGTCCTGGAGGGTCTGCTCCCCTAAAACTCTAATCAATTTTTTTTTTTGACTAGGCAATGGGGTTAAGTGACTTGCCCACAGTCACACAGCTAGTGAGTAGTATGTGTCTGAGGCTGGATTTGAACTCAGGTCCTCCTGCTTCCAGGGCCAGTGCTCTATCCACCGCACCACCTAGCTGCCCCATTCTAATCAATTCTTGCTGTAAGTTCACTGCGGGCAGTTGGCTTTTATGACCAGCTTATTTCTTAAAGAAGTTAAATACTTTTTTCCATGTTTACAACTCAGCTCTCTCTCATTATCTTTCACAAGATTACTATGGTAAATTTGAATTTCCTATTAGAAAGCTCCCTCTGCCCCTCCCCATTCAAATTAATTTGATGTAAGTTTAACAGTAGTCTTGATGGTTCTTCATATGGTTTTTAATCTGAAGGTTTAAGGAAGGAGTCACCTTAAATTTTCCTCTTTTCTGCCCTTTCATGGAGTCACTTTGTTTTGTGGGTTGCCTGAGCCGAAGAATTCATCACCTCATGATTCAGCTTGTATCAGTATACACAGCCTATCCAGTATCCAGAACCTTTCCAGAACGATAGACCCTATAAGAAGAGCAGGAATCTGGCCCCAACCCAAGGTCATCTCCAGGCCAAGACTTGAAATATCTGGAGGGGATCCTGAAAGGAACAATACTAATTTTTTTTCTCAGTGTTTCACATGAGCAAAATCACCTGAAGTATTGAGTTTCAGAAAGACTCCTTTATCCATGGTTAGCTATAAATTAATTATGATATGTGGTTTTGAAGTTTAATGTTACAGTCAGTTCTAACTTGGAACATGGATTCTTACTTAATCATCTTGGAGATTTTCAAGGTCTTTGGCCACTTTTCCCTTCCGTGGGAGAAAAAAAAGGGTAAAGGTTCATAGGTTCATTTTGCAAACCTAGTAAATAGCCAATCTTGATTAAAACAAAAAAGTCAAGGTGAGAGATGAAAAGGAAATCATCAGCTCAAATTGAGCATTTGAGATTATCTGTGGAATCTGTGTATCTGGGCTGTCTTTCTGGTACAGGTAATCAATAAGTTAGAGAACACATTGATTAGGTGTGAAGACCTTGCACACCCCTCTCCATCCCACAGTTAGGAAGAGGAGGAAGAGACCGTTCAGTACAAATGGCAGAGTGAAGATTCCACTGGGGGGAGCCTGGAAATACAACGCATCAAGTTTGACTGCAGAATCACTGGGATCCTTTTTTAAAGTGCTTGGGAAGCCAATGCAGCCAAAATTAGAAAAGCAGGAAACTGGGGGGGGGGGAGGGAATTTATAGCAAGTTTCTTTGATAAAGGTCGCACTTCTAAAATGTGTAGAGAACTGAGCCAAATTTATAAGATAGGAATCATTCCCCACTTGACAAATATGTGAAAAGGCAGTTTTCAGAGGAAGAAACCAAAGTTAACAATGGTCTTACAGTGCCCTAAATCACTAATAATTAGAGAGACGCAAATTAAAACAACTCTGAGGTAATACCTCACGCCTATCAGATTGACTTAAGGTGACAGAAAAAGAA